CATGGATTTGAATGAAATTTTCAGCAGATATACATAATAAAGCCCTAGATATACAGTACCGGCCAAAACTATATCCCTTCCAAAAAGTGTCCCTTCTTTGAAGGCTTATAACATTTTGTCTAGTCATCGTACAAGCATGTGCCATGGAGATTCTGGATTTTTTAGCGCTACGAGATGCACTATAAGACTTTGAAGAATTCAAAAATTTGAGACGAGTTTTAATGGCTTGAATCAAAGGTTAAAAATTGTGTGCTTTTCAGAGCATTTTTGCATTTTTATCTATCATAAACCCTTCGAAAGAATGCTGAAATGGAAATCCCGGTCTTAAGAAGACGTATAGCCCTGGGCTAACCACCAATTCCGTCAGCCGTTTCTTAGACTGTCTTTTTTGTTAATTAATCTTTTTTTAGTGTTTTTATCACTTTAGGTAAGTTTTAGCAAGCCATACTTTTGAATTAATCTTCAAGTTTAGCTAATTAATCTAACAAAAAATCATAACAAATGTTCAAAATTTCCACCTTTGGACTCGATGCACTGCTTCAATCGCTTGCGGAAGTTGACAAAGATGGTCGCGCATTGCTGAACAGTGATTTCAGCCCAGGCCCTCTTCAAAGCGGCTTTCAAAGAATCCACGGAGTGAAATCTCTTGCCAGAGATCTTGTCTCCCAAGATCGGCCAAACGGAGAGGCCAAAGTCTAGGGGAGTTCAAATCGGGGCTATTCGACGGCCAAATGTCCTTACACCGGTAGCCCGGAAACAGCTGATTGCAGAGAGCGAGAGTCGAACGGGCTCCATGGGCCGGCGCCCAGTCCTGCTGAAGGGTAAATCCAGTTTGTCCGAAATGATTCGCTGCCCAGGGCTCTAAGACATCTTTTAACACCTTTTGCTGGTAGACCTTAGCGTTGATTTTCACATTTCGATCGATGAACACAAGAGGCGTCTTTCCTGTGGCACAGATGCCGGCCCACACCATAACGGACTTCGGAAAATGTTGGCGGACCATGAATTTGGCTGCAAAAGTGTTTTTCAGACCTCGCTTGAGAAGTTGGCGATGGTTTTGACGATTGTGGATCGGTTGAACGGTGAAGACCTTCTCATCTGTGAACACGACCTTGTCCAAACGACCAGCACCGACCAGGTGCAACATCTTCTTCGCTTTAACCATCCTCTTGCTTCATGGCGTCGTTCAGGAAATGAGCCCGAGCAAATTTGTAGCTGGACATTCCAAGTTTCTTATGAACAATCCTTCGAACGCTCCAGGGTTCTTCGTACGCTCCAAAAACATTGTTTCTGGTTAAAAATAAGGAAAAACCGTTTAACAAATGTTAAAAAAGAAAAAGTGAGCCAAATACTGTTTTTTGAAATTTTATACAGTCGTTTGCAAAAAAGTGTCAGCACTTTTGCCGCACCCTGTATGTAGAGCGTTTTTCTCGGAGTTGCACTCAACTTTTTGGTTTTTTAAATTCAAAAACTAATATTATACAGTGCGTTTCAAATTCTTAAACGCACCCTCTAAAATAGCGAATTTTGCATTTTGACCACCTCTACAACTATTAATCTTTTTCTATTAGAAAGAGCATGTCTTAAAACCTAAAAAAACACGAAAAACAACCATACTGTAAAAAGTAAAAATTTTCAAAATCAAAACTTTTTGGTAAATCAACCGTTTCAAATTCTTAAACGCACTATGAAAATATTTTTATTTATCGACACAAATTAACCTCAAAGGTAAGAAATCAAAACTAACAATCTGTACCGCACCAGAACGATTAATTACTTGAAAAGTGCGGTCTGGCATTGAATTGCTGAGGTTTTGAAGAGCGGAGACGTCGAGATAGCTTCAGGCCAAACGGCTTCAGGCTGTTTTAGGTACAAATATACGTCTTGAAACTGACGATGATTTTTTAGGCAGCTCGGACAAGTATTCGACATAAATTCCCTATCGGATTGACGTCAGGAGATCAAGCGGGTCAGTCCAAAGTTGCAATGTTGTTGTTGTTCAGCCAGTCTCCGGTGTCTCCGGCTCGATGAATTGACGCGTTGTCGTATTGAAACAAATCGGGAACGGTTGGATTTAGGAGCAAAAACGGCAACAAGCAATTGTTCATGTTATCTATCTAGTGATTCGATTCGAAACCATCTTCAGAGCGACCGTTCCATCAGCACAAAAGGCGGCCCAAACCATCACAAAACCGCCGCCAAAGTTTCGAGTTCCAAACACCATCGGATCACGTCGAAGATCCCTCCAATAGTAGTCAATGCCATTGGAACCATCCCAATTCCATTTCTTCTCATCGGAAAAGATCACCTAAACGCAAAAAAAGAATAAAACATAAGCTGCTTTCTAACCATAGACAAATCCTAATTCATATGAGCCTTGGTGAACGCAAATCGGGGTTTCTTGTGCAAAAGCTTCACGGCCGGTTGCATGTTCAATAATCGTCGATCCATATGTGGGTTTTCCTTGATGGCTCGCCAAATTGTCGACTTCGAAACGTCGATTTTCCGTTCCATTTTCACTTTATTGATCGTTTTTCCATGGATGTTGTTCACAATATGGCGTCTAGCTCGCGGTTTAAGCTTTGGTTTTGGTCCTGGCTTATTCTTTGGTGCAGAAACGATATGTAATTTCGCACGGCAGAGTCGGATCGGCCCAAATTTTTTGCGATTTTCCTTATTGAGTCGCCAATCCTCAAACGGGCCTCAATCTGGCCTTTCTCATAATCCGTGAGCAGCTTTCCGTGTGCCATTTACCTGGAAATTAACAAAAAATATAAATTTAATAAAAAAATATGCACAAAAAACGAAAAATTTCAAATAACAACGGCAAAGGCGGGTGCGTTTAAGAATTTGAAACGGTTGATTTACCAAAAAGTTTCTATTTTGAAAATTTTTACTTTTTACAGTATGGTTGTTTTTCGTGTTTTTTTAGGTTTTAAGACATGCTCTTTCTAATAGAAAAAGCTTAATAGCTGTAGCGGTGTTCAAAATGCAAAATTCGCCATTTTAGAGGTCCGTTTAAGAATTTGAAACGCACTGTAGTTTTAAACTCAAGACTCTGGACAGATCAAAAAAAGGACATATGAAAGATAATAAAAAGTTGACTATTTAATGTGAATTTTTCAGCTCAATCCGAGCTATTGTCGGCGAGATATGGCCTGGAGTCGTACCATCTCTTATAACAGAGGAGAACTAGTGGGTTGGTGGAAAAGTCCTTTCCGATTTTTTGGGAGAGTACCTTAAATTTGTCCAATTTTGACGTTTTATAGCTCATCCTAAAGCTTTTCTTGTTTTCTGAAATTTTTGCTTGTCATTTGTTTTCTCTTTTTTGTTATTATGGTGAATTTTAGGGTACAACACTTTTCAGTTCAACTCCACCCCAACAACAATCTTCAGCTGGATCGTATGGTTACGCCATTTTCTTCACCGTAAACAGTTTCTCTCTTTCTTTAAAAGGCGTTGCGTGCTCACTAACGTTCGCGTCTTCTGCGCCCCTTTTTGCCAATGGCTGCGCACAGACGGACAAACGTCTCTTCTGCTTTATATATAGTAGATTCCTCAATGCTTTATATATAGTAGAATCTCGGAAATTGTTGCAAAGTTGACACTTTTTAGAAAAGCAATTCACATTTTAAACAAAGACAATTTTAACTGAATTCTTATCTAATTACTCAATTTGTTTCTTATTATCTCACTAATTTTTCTTTTTTTTTAATTATTTCACAGCAAAAAGTTGTCTCTATTTACTAATAAGTAAACTTTTGCGCATAATTCAGTGATCTCAGCTGGAGGAATCCATGGTAAACACGAGAAAGTCAATGTTCCCACAAAATGACATTTGTTATTTTCAGCTAAACTTGCGCAAACTGAAGCTTTAGTCTTTGTTCGGCCAAGATTGACCTGTTTTCCCTGACCTGATTGACCTGATTGACCAACGAAAAATCGGACTCAAAAGTCGAGCTCGAGCTTTGCTAACATCTTCATCAAAAGTATCAAAAGTATGGCTTGCTAAAACTTACCTAAAGTGATAAAAACACTAAAAAAACGATTAATTAACAACAAAAACAGTCTAAGAAACGGCTGACGGAATTGGTGGTTAGCCTAGAGCTATACGTCTTCTTAAGACCGGGATTTCCATTTCAGCATTCTTTCGAAGGGTTTATGATAGATAAAAATGCAAAAAATGCTCTGAAAAGCACACAATTTTTAACCTTTGATTCAAGCCATTAAAACTCGTCTCAAATTTTTGAATTCTTCAAAGTCTTATAGTGCATCTCGTAGCGCTAAAAAATCCAGAATCTCCATGGCACATGCTTGTACGATGACTAGACAAAATGTTATAAGCCTTCAAAGAAGGAACACTTTTTGGAAGGGATATAGTTTTGGCCGGTACTGTATATCTAGGGCTTTATTATGTATATCTGCTGAAAATTTCATTCAAATCCATGGTTTTGCTGCCGAGATATGCGCGGTTGTTATTTAATCTAAAAATCGCAAATTGAAATAAAAAGTTAATGGTATAATTTTTCCAGTTTCACTCACATAAGTAGTGAAATGATATGAAATTTAGACAAATGAGTGCACAAGATTCAGTTTTTCAGTTGAGATTCAGTTTGCATTCTTCAGTGCACTTGTTATACTCGTTGTTTCGTCTACCTCAAAAAAATCCAGCAAGAACAAAAACCAAAAAACAGGGAATGCAAAATTGCCTCTTTTACGTGTATTCCAAACAAAAACTAAATGCTTTCTGCTAGGCGTCCAAAAAACATCGAATTTCGCATGTAAAAGTGGCAACTTTTGATCGACTATTACCGAACACTGTTTCCCAAGCTAAATTTGCATTTAATTTTGCATGTTCTCGAGGAATATGCAAAACAAATACAGCGTTGCTAACCAGAGATCCTTTGCTGCAATAAACACAGAGCGAGAGTATAAAATGAAGAGTTTATGGGTGAAAATTCATCACTCATTTCTTGCATTCGAAACTTTTACAATCCAAAATGCACTTTGCAATCATTTTCCTCTTCGGTCTTCTCATCGCCCCGTCGTGGGCAGGAGTCCCGGCAGTCTCTTCGGGCGGTGATGCCTGCCATTGCCCAGTCATTCCCGATTTGACTGCACTAGAGTGCATCCTCGATTTTGGTACGTCTGGATTGTATTGTTATTGAATCAAAAATAGATCCAGGGTTGTTCCAAGAAACTATACTGCAAAAACAATTCCGAATAGAACCAATTTTCTAAAACACCAAAGCAACAAAGTTTTCAGTCTCCCACGTGGAAATCTTGGACAAGACGACTAAAACGGTGAATGGGACGACTTTCAACGAGTATACCCTCAAGCACATTAAGATCTACAAGGTTGGATGAAAATTAAAAGATTAAAAAACATCGAATACTACTATAGGGTGGAGTCTCCCTTCCAACCGTTGTCCTCGTTCCACAAGGTCCGTGCGGATTGGAGTTGGAGGTCAACCTTGAGTACCTTCTCTGCGGAGTGGTCACTGGGGACACCAATCTCTACGCTAGCCTTTGTCTTCAAATTTTGCAAGTCCTGTCACCGCTGTGGAGCCTGGTTAGTGTCTTGTATTCTGGCTAATCTACTTCACTCTGTCAGGTGGACGCCGAATGTCTCCACGAACTAAGCCTCCTGAACACTGTCACCAACCTGGTTTGCCTTCTCCTCAAAGCCATTATCGAGCTGCTTTTTGGAAATCTTATTCCGTAATACATTTCATTTAATATCATTAATATAATTAAAATGAAAAAGCTTTTTGTTTAGTTGTCTTCCCGGAATCGATTGCCTTGGTGGACTCACTGGGCCTTTCTAAATCACAAAACGAGCCGAGACTATTCTTGACACATTTCGCACTTTTTCTGTATATAAATGAACCGCATCATAAAATATTTTTTATTTTTTAATAAAAAAGGCAATCTAAAAACATCAAAAACCTTTCAATTTTCAGAGCAGGGTTTGCCATGCTCTATTATGATAACCGCAATACGTACAGTACTCCTGAGAAAGATATCATAATGCAATTTTTTGAACGTATTAGGTTGGTGCAAAAGAAATTTCGGTCGATATAAAATGTTCTTATTTTTTTAATCTGAAGAGCTTATTTGATGTTCTTTTGTGCATTTGTACTCTTGGATATTTACTTTATTTTCGCATTTTTTCAAAGTCAGAGCTTTCACTTTTTAATTGATTTTTGCTTTAGATCATGGTGGATCAAAAGTATGTTCTGCGCACGTGTCTTCTCTATGACTTCAAAATGGGCAAAAACGCTGCTGATTCACATGGTGATCTCTGTTCCGCCTTTGGAGAACAGGTTATCACCGAAAGATCATGCCAGCTCTGGTTTGCCCAATTCCGAGATGGTAATGAATCCCTTGAAGACGAATCGCATGGACATCGTGCCACAACCATCGACAACAATGAATTGGAACAATTAATTGAAGCTGATCCAATGCAAACAACACGAGAACTTGCCAAACATCTCAATGTGATCATTCAACAATTGTACGCCATTTGGAAATAATTGGAAAGACAAATCGTAATGGACAATGGGTTCCACATCAATTGAGTGTTGAGAATCTGGGAGCACGCGTTTCGATCAGCCATATCTTGCTCCATAAGTCGAAAAGAAGCCATTTTTTTGAGAATATCTTGACGATGGATGAGAAGTGGATTCACTTTGATAATACTTCTCGAAAAAGACAATGGCTGAGCAAAGGTCAAGCGCCAATTCCAACTCCAAAGCCGGATTATCATGGGCGCAAAGTGATGTTGTCTTGCTGGTGGAATATCAATGGACTTGTTCATTTTGAATTATTAGAGCCCGGAAAAACAGTCGATTCATCTTATTTTATTCAACAACTCAAGAAGGTTGACGAAATTTTGCGTGAAAAAGGCCTAAATCCCTCAACTATCAACTTTCTCCGTGATAATGCTCCAGCTCACACGGCAAAAACCTCTTGTAAGGAACTAGAGAAGCTAGGATGGAAGGTCTTACCACATGCGCCGTATAGTCCAGACTTAGCACCCTCCGATTTTCACCTTTTCAGATCGATGCAACATTCCCTTGAGAATTGCCAGTTTAAGAATGCAAAAGTCGAAAATTGGGTGATCAACTACTTTGCATCACAGAATCAAGCGTTCTTTGAGAAGGGGATCCGCAATCTGAAGCAACGTTGGAGGGATGTCATAGATAATAATGGTGCTTATTGTTTTAAATAAATTGTTATCTAAAAAAATTTTGGATGACTTTAATGTTTGTAAAAAAACGAAATTTCATTTGCACCAACCTAGTATATACCATTTTTAACTCGATGAAAAGTCGACTATTCGACTTCATCGAGAAAAAGGAAGCCTCTATTAATTATTAATGAACTTTTCATTCGTTTTTCTTTTGTTTATTCTCAAATTTTATCTGAACAAATTGCAACAAAATCATAACAATTTCTTTATTTAACACCACATAAAAAATAACAATAAATTTGAGAATAAACAAAAGAAAAACGAATGAAAAGTTCATTAATAATCAATAGAGGCTTCCTTTTTCTCGATGAAGTCGAATAGTCGACTTTTCATCAAGTTCACTAAGTTTTGAAGCGTTTGTGGTGGAATTGGCCTCCAAGCTTGCAAAATTGCTTTTTTCAGTTGCAAAAGTAAGTCTTTTGTGTAGCATAAATATTGGTGCCCCATATCTTTCCATTGGGTTAAAGTCCGGTAAGCCGACAAGCCATTCGACAAAATCGATGTTGTGACATTCCAGAAAAACTTTAAAGGATTGGCTGATATGAATTGAAGCATTATCCTGTCAAAAAATATATTGTTTCCCTCAGTTTTGTGCTCGAAAAGGAAGCAGTTGATCCGCATGGACGTCCTGGTAATAAGAATTAAAAATAGATCCGATGTTTTTAGATTGCTTTTTTATTAAAAAATAAAAAATATTTTATGATGCGGTTCATTTATATACAGAAAAAGTGCAAAATGTGTCAAGAATAGTCTCGGCTCTTTTATTGTGATTTAGAAAGGCCCAGTGAGTCCACCAAGGCAATCGATTCCGGGAAGACAGCTAAATAAAATAGTTTTTCATTTCAAAACTCTATTAACGATATTAAACGAAATGTATTACGGAATAAGATTTCCAAAAAGCAGCTCGATAATGGCTTTGAGGAGAAGGCAAACCAGGTTGGTGACAGTGTTCAGGAGGCTTAGTTCGTGGAGACATTCGGCGTCCACCTGACAGAGTGAAGTAGATTAGCCAGAATACAAGACACTAACCAGGCTCCACAGCGGTGACAGGACTTGCAAAATTTGAAGACAAAGGCTAGCGTAGAGATTGGTGTCCCCAGTGACCACTCCGCAGAGAAGGTACTCAAGGTTCACCTCCAACTCTAATCCGCACGGACCTTGTGGAACGATGACAACGGTTGGAAGGGAGACTCCACCCTATAGTAGTATTCGAGGTAATAAGAGTTTCTTTAATTTCAGCAAAGCAAAATAGTATTTCCTTAACTGTAAGCTAATTTTTATCCAACCTTGTAGATCTTAATGTGCTTGAGGGTATACTCGTTGAAGGTCGTCCCATTCACCGTTTTAGTCGTCTTGTCCAATATTTCCACGTGGGAGACTGAAAACTTTGTTGCTTTGGTGTTTTAGAAAACTGGTTCTATGCTGAATTGTTCTTACAGTACAGTTTCTTGGAGCAACCCTGGATCTATTTTTGATTCAATAACAATACAATTCACACCTACCAAAATCGAGGATACACTCTAGTGCAGTCAAATCGGGAATGACTGGGCAATGGCAGGCATCACCGCCCGAAGAGACTGCCGGGACTCCTGCCCACGACGGGGCGATGAGAAGACCGAAGAGGAAAATGATTGCAAAGTGCATTTTGGATTGTAAAAGTTTCGAATGCAAGAAATGAGTGATGAATTTTCACCCATAAACTCTTCATTTTATACTCTCACTCTGTGTTTATTGCAGCAAAGGATCTCTGGTTAACAACGCTGTATTGGTTTTGCATATTCCTCGGGAACATGCAAAATTAAATGCAAATTTAGCTTGGGAAACAGTGTTCGGTAATAGTCGATCAAAAGTTGCCCACTTTTACATGCGAAATTCGATGTTTTTTGGACGCCAGCAGAAAGCATTTAGTTTTTGTTTGGAATACACGTAAAAGAGGCAATTTTGCATTCCCTGTTTTTTGGTTTTGGTTCTTGCTGAATTTTTTGAGGTAGACGAAACAACGAGTATAACAAGTGCACTGAAGAATGCAAACTAAAACTCAAATTTTTAGCAGATATTTATATTTTTCTCATACATGGCTGTCCGGAATTACGGGGACTAGGGGTATCTTCGATATTGTATATTTTTGCTGACAATTTATATATCGCAGCCGCTCGTGATGTTCACCCGGTAGTGATTGAATCACGATCGGCTAGTCGATGGTGATTGAAAGTTTTTTGACGAAACATTTGAAATGCAATGCAGGCTTATCTGACATGCAAATAAAAAAGTTAGACTAATAGAACCAAATATTTTAGCACCTCGGGAGGTAACTTCTGTTGCCAAATTGTTGCCTTCTGTTGCCAAATCTTTTGAAAAAGATGTTTTCGAAAAAAAAATTTAAAACAACCCCCTCATTCCATCTTTTAGACACAAACTATTACTTTCTTCGGTGTTTAATGAGCAATAGTTTTTATTTTAAGTAATAATTGAGTAATAATTTTTCAATCGTTTCTTTTTTTCGATTTATCTCGTGTATCGTTGCAATTATGCGTGACAATTAAATTTTTAGGTTAAAGAAAATCACTGACCGAGCTGCCGAATCGTACATGGTCGCCCTCGACACTTGCAGAGCCAAGGATCAGTTGAAAGATGCAATCAAGACATCGAAGTAAGTTGATTTTATTATTCCGATTTTAACTTTTTGAAAAACGTGTTAATTTTCATTGTTTAACGTATCCTCTGTATACGAGAAGAAAAATCGACAAAATGGGCTCGACTTCTCCCAATTTTTCAATCAATGAAAAACCGACGTTATCATCCGTTCCCCTTTCGAAGCAATGGTATAATTTTTGGAATTAAACTTAAATATGCTGATTTTGTAGTTTGAAAGAAAGTTAACGATCAGTTTTACCGTTGAGCCGTCCAATGATGAAAGAAATTTACCAGAAAATACGGAGGTTAATGTTTCTAGTTTTTGTTTAACTTTTTTGCTTTAGGAAATCGAGCCCGAGTCCGAAAAGTTTGAAGATTCGACCGAGTCAATCAAGTCTGCTTTAACGGATAATCCGATTTTATGGCCGGATTCCAAAGAGTATGATGAAATTGTCAAAATGCACAAAGCTTTGATTATGATTTAATTGAACTTTTTATTTTAGGATCGTATCATGTGAATAAGGAAAATGTACCACATCGAGCTGAAGCCGCAGAAGTACATATTTCAGGTTTATTTTGCCTTCTAATTCTTTTATCTAGTTGGTCAAACGCTTTGTTTTAGAATTGAACCAAGCCTTGCAGCATCAAGTTGAAAGCATGAAAGCAAGAAACGAATAGCACAATTGCAGATTAATTTTTTCGCTTAAACTCTTTTGTTTAGTTGATCTACATTTTTTTAGAATTGAATCGTCTTGATGAGAAAATGTGTCAACATCGAGCTGGCGCCGTCAGATTTCAACAGAAGCAAGCCGAGAAGATGCTCGAATCTTCTAAAAACAGGTATAATTCATGCTTTTCAATAATTATTAATTCAATTGATACTTAACTATGCTTTTTTCCTTAGATATGGTCCTGTTGACGTTGGAAAAACTGTTCGAGTTCCAATCGATACTGTGGATAGACCGAAGATTGGGCATCCTTCTCTTTTCGGAGCCGTGTTGGGAGCAAACGACGGATTTTAGAAAATTGGCACTTCGAATGGAATTCTCCCTCAAAAGTTTGTTTGTTGTTGTTGATTATTAAATAATTTTCTAGGTTGACTCGCAACCAGTTTGTGTCAGCAAACAACAATTTCATCGATGCTGAAGGTGTGCCCGAAAAGGAGACATCATTTCGCTCAGCAGGCGGCGCCGAATCTCTCACCGGATCTCAAGGTATTTTTTGTAGCCTTTGTTTAATTGCTTTTGTTTAGGGCACAAGCACTGTAAGTGTACAAATGGCTGCGTAAATGGTCGATGTGTATGCCTCAAGTCGAACGTTTTGTGCTAATAAGAATAATTCCATATTTGCTGTATTTTCCGTCGCTGGTAGTTCAGTGGTAGAATATAGACTCAAAGCCGATTTATCTCTACAAAGAGATCTTATAGAGAAAGTGGAAGAGATTTAGAAACATAAAGCACAATATAAGCTATGGATCTAAAGAAATATCAGAAATCCACTCTCTAGATCTCTGCACAATATATTTTTTATAATTTGTTATCCGATATATCTGTTTTATATAGTTTTTTTGATTTTTAGGTGCTCTTCACGAGGCCTGGCCTCTTTAACAACTTTGGCAACGACATCGTCTTCAAATTAATGTTGTTGAGGCCCATTTATTTGTTGGTTTCTTTATTTATGTTAATAAATTTTGGATTAAATACCTTTATATGAATATTGATTATTGAGTATGATTGAATATCTATTTCATTTCTTTAAAACGTGTGACAGATGGATTTAGCTTGGTTTCGTTAAATCTTTAAATAACACTTTTGTGTCTGTACAAAAAAAGTACGCGAAATTTTTCAAAAGTAGCCTGAAATCGATTAATGTGATTAATCTACGTGTTTGTGAATTGAAAAGTGGATTAAGAGATGATTCGTGTTGCCTGATCCTTTTTTTATCCTTTTTTTAGTTTTTTTTTCTCTAATTCTATTTCTTTAGAGCTATCAAGGTGCGACCTCAACTGTGTTTCTTCAAAGATTTCGATTCTTTCAAGGTGGAACTCGAATATCTGGAGATCGTTCATGACTCGAAACCTTTCCGTTTCGCTTACCCTCTAAATGGCAAGAATCGGAATTTTTTTGTCAAAACGGTTCCTAAGATTCAGCTTACTTTATCTGAAATGGTCCTACAGGTAGGGTTTTCTTACTTTTTTAAAATTGAATCCCTATTTGCTCTAAAGAAACTTTGATCGGTCATTTTCACGAAATATAATATTGCATTGTTTAATTTAAAGAAGGTATGGGTAAACGATATTTATTGCTATTCAGTGAATTGCTGCAATGCAATCATTATGTCTATGAATTAAGAGAGGCTTTAACTCATTTATTGATTTGATTTTCAGTCAACAAACACGAAGGACACCTGGCTTGGCTTTCATGTGGTGGATTTTTGTGCTCAATTCGAGGACCTGGAAATGTTAAGCGATTTTGTCGTCAGACTGAAAACGGTTGCCAATTATGAGCAGGTTTTCTCTCACCTTTTTGCGCTTTTACGGAAGATTTAAATTATTTTAGAGTATTGAGTAGATACCTCATTTAGTTTATGATCAAAATTTCGATATGATTTGGCTTAAAATAATCTCCTTTAATCTAGCATCTAGATTGCTGATTTAGATTTTAACTAGTTTTTCCTAAGTCTAGTTAATTTTATAATTTACCAAAAAATCCAAGTTCAGTTGAAAGTCCCCACCTGCAAGAAGGCCACCGACTCTGAAGATGATTCGTTCTATGACGATGACGAAAATGATCACGGTACAAACATGTTGGTTCATTTGATTTGATTTTTATTAACACAGGAAAGTAAATGATCTATTCGTAAGCCAGTCCATTTCATAAAATTTCATTTCTTCATGCTTCATTACAAATGATAAATCCATAATTAAACTTTTTATTTTAGGATTGACATGGTGCCACCAGTGCGTTTCTTCTTCGATTCGGAATATGCAGCGATGAATGTCACTGCCCAATATTTCGAGATCACCTTCCAAGGGGTGGTGTACCGTTTTGCGCACCCTCAGGGCAATCAAGCACGACAATACATCTCGAACAACATTCTTCAGCCAGCAAATACTCCACGTCTTTGGAAACATCTCCTGGTGAAGGGTGTGACGCTTCAGGTTGAAGATTCTCTTTTTGAATTTATATTTGTTTCTAATTCCATTTCAATCATTTTTTTTTCAGGAATTGAATCCCCTTACCACACGATACATCGACGGACCAGTAATGGATTTTTACATGGCTTCTGAAAGAATGGGAACGTTGAGTCGATTAACTGGCGCTCTTGAAGACGTGGGCTATGTTGAAGTTTGAACAGGTTGGGGTTTTTTCCCGGTAAAAGTTAATAGTTTCAATCACGTCAAGTTGTTCATTCTATAGACTTTAATTTCAGAATGGTATATAGGAATTGATTAATGCTAAATTTTAGCATCCTTGATATTTTGGTCATTTTACAGCTTTGAGTTTATTAATGTCTAGACGATTTATCTTTTTAATAAGCAAGACATTTATATGGCACTTTAAAATGCGTCGGATCAACTTATATTATTATATAATTTGTTATCCGATATATCTGTTTTATATAAGCTTGTTTGAGTTTTAGGTGCTCATCACCAGAACTGGCCTCTCTAACAACTCTGGCAACGACATCGCCTTCAAATCAATGTTGTTGAGGCCCATTCATTTGTTGGTTTCTTTATTTATGTTAATAAATTTTGGATTAAATACCTTTATATGAATATTGATTATTGAGTATGATTGAATATCTATTTCATTTCTTTAAAACGTGTGACAGATGGATTTAGCTTGGTTTCGTTAAATCTTTAAATAACACTTTTGTGTCTGTACAAAAAAAGTACGCGAATTTTTTCAAAAGTAGCCTGAAATCGATTAATCTACGTGTTTGTGAATTGAAAAGTCTATAATTAAGATATGATTCGTGTCGCCTAGTCCTTTTTTATTTTTTTTTAGTTTTTTTTCTCTAATTCTATTTCTTTAGAGCTATCAAAATGTGTTTCTTCAAAGATTTCGATTCTTTCAAGGTGGAACTCGTGGATCCACTTCTTGAAAAAGACAATGGCTCAGCAAAGGTCAAATGCCAATTTCAACTTCAAAGCCGGATTATCAGGAGCACAAAGTGATGTTGTCTTGCTGGTGGATTATCGACGGATTTGTTTATTTCGAATTATTAGAGCCCGGAAAACAGTTGATTCACCTTGTTTTATTCCATAGTTGTTGACTCAAGAAGGTTGACCAAAAACCAAAAGACCAATTTTGCAAAGAGCACACACGGCGAAAGCTTCTTGTATGGAGTTAGAGGAATTAGAATGAAATGTCTTGCCGCATGCGCCATACAGTCCAAACTTGTCACCATCTAAGGGGATCCGCTATCTGAAGCAACGTTAGAGGGATGTTATAGATATGGTGCTTATTGTTAGGAATAAATTATTACCCAAAGGAATTTTGATTTAATTTAATGTTTGTAAAAAAAACGTAATTACTTTTGCATCAACGTAGTACATCTGTGTTGGAAACTGAAAAAATAATGCCATAGACTTTTTATTATTTTACAATTTCAATTTGCGATTTTAAGAACAAATAACATTTTTATATTCTAAAAGTTAAAATATTGCTTATCAAAGACAAAAACTTTCTAAAAACTATAAACTTCAACAATCTTTTCAGTAGTCTCAATGTAGCGGGCTTCAAAGTCTTGCTAATTGTACAGGGTTCAATTTTTAAAGTTTTTGAATTTTTAAGACCTTGCCCCTTACCCTCAAAATATAAAAATTTCTAGGTACAGGCCTACGAGTTACTAGATAACAAAATCAAAAGTTACTAGATAACTTTTGATATTCTCCATTTAATTTTGTTTAGACACAGCACAAAATCCACAACCACCGCTCTCATTTAGATCAACAAACTTCTAAAATACGACGAAGAACTAAAAAGGTTATCTTTAACCGCTTATCTGTATACCCAAAAACTCACATGATTAGGCCAAATCAGAGCCAAATCCGGGAAAGTAACCCGCTAGAAAAACTTCACCCCAACAACAACCTTCAGCTGGATCGTATTGTTACGCCATTTTCTTGACACTTTTTAGAAAAGAAATTCACATTTTAAAAAGAGAATTTTAACTGAAATTCTACCTAATTTTTCCATTTTGTTGATTACTATCTCATTAGTTTTCCCCATTTCTATTTATTTCCCATAACAACACCCAGCAAAAAGTTGTCTCTATTTGCCCAAATGTTCCCTTATTCCCGCATAAGTAAACTTTTACGCATAATTCAGTGATCTCAGCTGGGGGAAATGAATGATCCAAGGTAAACACGAGAAAGTCAATGTTTACACAAATTGACATTTGTTATTTCCAGCTATACTTGAGCAAACGAAGGCTTTAATCCAGTTTGTTCGGTCAAGATTGACCTGTTCTTCCTTTTAAAAGAAAAATCGGACCCAAAGACGAGCTTGAGCTTTGTTAACACCTTGAACATCTTTCATCAAAACAAAATTTCTTCCATAGAAGCTTTAAGCCTCAATGATTACCGGTTGAACTTGGAAACTCTGAAAAGAAAGCTTGTGCAAGTAAGGTCATCACATTGTTCCTTCACTTTCCTCTCCAGCACATCTGCTCATTCTCCTTTTCGATTCTTTATGAAACGGCTGTCACCAACGAATGGATAATTGCTCTTCATAAAGATGGAAATATGGAAAACTTTTAGAGTAAAGTTCTTTGATTTCTCTTAAAATCCCAACAACTCTAACTCTAGCTCTAATTTAAAGTAAGTTAAAGTATTTTTAAAAGCTAGCCTTTAGTCTCTTTCAAATTGCTTTAAAGAATAGGTTTGCTTTTCTTCAAATAACATTTAGAACTCAAGGCTTTAAAGTTTACATAGCAGATTACATAGCAGATTATATAGCAGATTACGATAGCTTGAGCACAAGACCATATCAGTATTGGCAAGAAGACTACTGTCAATTCTAACTAAGTTCTTCATTAGTTTCAATAAATCCTTGATTTCTTGAAGCTTTCTCCTCAACCTAACCCACGTTCCCTCACTCTCGATTCTTTCACTCACTCTCCACTTCATCCATTTAACGCAATGTGGCAGGTGTGTCCATTCTGGACTGCCAATATAGAGAAACCCCATCTAATTGCATAAACCCTTTTCTCTTCTCTTTTCTTTCCAGTCCACACTTCTTCCTGTTTTGTTTGACTGTTTGTCTGTTCGTTCATTCTACTCATTCACTAAGCGTTAATCCAAACAACCACCTAATTGACAGCTGAAACCTCGCTCATTTGACCACTTCCTGACACCCTGTTGCACAATGATTAATGAGGTGTTTGGGATGAGGATTCGCATTGGAGAATATTAGGATTACGGTAGCTTTTAATAGTTATTTGATAGCATTCTTCTAGCCAACAAGATCAAGAATATATAGAGCGTTTTTCTCAGAGTTGCGCTCAACTTTTTGATTTTTAAAATTCAAAAACTAATATTATAGTTTTAAACTAAAGACTCTAAAAAGATCAAAAAAACAAATAGACCATATGAAAGATAATAAAAAGTTGACTGTTTAATGTGAATTTTTCAGCTCAATCCGAGCTATTTTTAGCGAGATATGTCCTGGAGTCGTACCATCTCTTATAAAAGAGGAGAACTATATACCTTTCAGTTCAACTCCACCCCAACAACAACCTTCAGCTGGATCGTATTGTTACGCCATTTTCTTCACCGTAAACAGTTTCTCTTTCTCTCTAAAAGGCGGCTTCTTCAACCATTTCTGGCAGCCGTAAAAAGAAGCCTATTTGAAAATTAATGAGTCTCTAATTACCGCTCTGGGGAAAAGATGGGAAAGAAATCCGAGAAATGACAAAAGGAAATGCCGATCGTTTTCTTATGGCAATCAAGGGGAGATTGAAAGGGAAAAGCGACCATGACTATGCAACATTAATGAACAACAAACCAATGTCGGTGAATATTTCATGGATCTTCTACTCAAAAAGTGTTAGGGAAGAAAAAAAACCTCAAACGAATTGTTTTGTTTCGCTTTATCTGCCATTAATCTACTTCTACCTGGTTTTATTTCCAAATCAAGAATTCCAAGCCTTTACACTAGCCACAAGCCTAGCCTATTAGTTTGCTGAACTTCTAGTTAGATTCCCAGCTACTGTAACGAGCTTGCAAGTTTGGTAGAATCAGCAGTAAAGCTAAGATCAAGCTTCAACCCAGAAAAGTTTCGCAGAGAAAAACCCTACAAAGCCTTGTACAAAAGAAACAAAAGCCCCAGCTCATGCAAGCTCCCTTTCAATGAACACTCCCATTTTTTTTCTCTTTCTATTTATGGCGGTTCTCCTTTATGTCATCACTCACGATTTCCCCTAAATGACATATGTAAATCCACTCTTTAACGGTCTTTTCTCTTTTCACTTCAAATCGAATTGAAAGCGATGCATTGAGAGGTTCAAAAAAAAGCGTTTCAATGGATGAATGCTGTCAACACAAAATGAATGCTCTACATAAAAGCTTTGAAATTGGAATCATCAGAAAAAGAATGAGGGTACTGTAGTGACTAAAGCAAGAGCAAGAATGTGTTGCCTTTTTGTCTAAAAAGTACTTATTAAGCTTTGACAAAGGTACAAGTCAAGTCATTTTTCAATTTCCAAGCCAGTCAGAGTCAAAACCCTGGCTTTGGATAGGCTTTTTCCTTTTGATGAGTATAGTTTTAGAGTTTTCAGCGAATTTTTTGAGTAAATCAAATCTGGGAAGGTCTTTGCGCTTTTTTATGGATCAGGTGGCTGTCCCCGAAAATGGATGGGTATAATGGGCATTTATAAAACAAAAAGAGGCAATAGCTGACCCTAACGGGTATCCAAAAAAACCCCCGATTTCTCCTTTTTCCCGATCTCCTCTTTTCCCTAAATCGACTCCACCGCGAAATTTAGACAAATCGCCTAAACAAAAGCCCCGAACAAAGGCCGATTCTGTGAGGAAAAGAGGCATTTGTAGTAATTTGGAGTCTACTGGAAATTTGGTGAAAGATCGATTGAGTTGTCAATGGGAGCTCCTTTAGGAAGATAAATTTGAGACGCACTTTGTTCCAGTGAATACTCGAAATTTAGCTCTTTTGTGCGAAATTTATTGAGTAAACAGTTGAAGAAAAAAGGCAACATTTGAGAAAGTTACAGTAAGCTTTTAGAAAGTTTATTTAGAGTTTACTGTAGGATTTCTATAGCTTACACTATTCTTACAGTAAGTCCAAGTCACTAAAGTATTCAGGTGTTGAGGCTGAATTGAGAATGATGAAAAGGAAGTTACAGTAATCTTACTAGTGGATTGTAGTAATCTTTTTACATAGCATTTACTATTGTAGTAACTGGGGACTACTGTATCTCGTTACAGTATCCCTACAGTAGGCACAAGACTCACTACAGTAAAACTAGACTCATTTAACTGTGTAAAAGCTGTGTAAAAACAAGTTCCAATGCACCAGAGAGTAGGCGTTTCCATTTTTGAGCTCAAAATACACTTACCAAAGCTCATCCTTGTCCTCCAGCACCCATCTGTTACCCTTTTTATTACACATTTCAACGCGAATCGAGAGTTAATTGAACAGAAAATTGACAGCATAAAAAACCAGCTGACGATTAGCTGACGATAGC